CTATCACATGGATGTCTCATGCAGCGAGCTCCCCTTTGCTTATGGTGCTCCTTAGGCCAGCGAACCGAGCTAAAATTATCTGGAGCCTTACTCTGATCTCAGGCAAATGAGAACTGGGAATAACAAAACATTGCTAAGGCCCATGGAGATAGAGTGCTACAAGAGGAAACACAGGCCTCCGTGATGTCCATATGGTTGCATCTGAGAGAGAGACTGGTCATGCTGGTAGCATGTGCTAGTATTAAATCACCACTCAGGTTTGAAAACAAATTAAGTCAGTAAAGAAAATACATGAATAAAGGCAAACAGAAGAGAAACTTGCTACCCTGCAGAACGCATGATAAATCATTTATTACAGTAGGAAAGAGGCTTTCAGACAGAAATGGCAGCATATGAGTCTACTTTACAGAAAACAAGCACCTCTGAGAAACCTGTATCCACAGAACTGCAGCTGTAAAGATGATAGAGCTTCCACCTGGCTCCCTAAGCCCTTCTCCTGATACCATCGCTCCTACAAAAGATGATGTTAAATATTCATGTATTTATCTTGCCACATCAGCAAGGGTGATGTGTGCATTCAGTGTCCTAATGCACATGAACCATTGGGGTTTTTTCCGATAGAAAAGAGCTTTTTTGCTTTCACTGAGTCACATCAGCAGAAATACCACATCACAGAGGAAACCAGTTTGAAATACCCTTGGCATGAAGAAGAAAAACACCACTGTCCAGGAGACAAGCTATCATGGGCATGGGGGAAGCAGTAGTCTAGGGATCTTTCAGGCCTACTTGGATTCAACTTTCTGGTGAAAGATTTAGCTGCCTTCATGTGGCAGCTTGAAAGGACAGATTCCCATGGCCAAATTGTTGTGGACTGAAGCTATGTAGCAGCTTTTGACCCAGCTCCCCAACCAAATTAAAATGACACATCCAAATTTATTTGGCATTTGAACTGGGAGAGAAATGACTTTTCTGTTCTGCCAGAGGCCTCTTATTTAATGCCTTGTAAAGCGGAACAAACTGCATATAATAATGACATCTTGTGGTAGTTGTTGAATTATTGCCCTATCATTTAGTAGAGAATTGGATGCCAGATTTCTTTCTCCCTCCATGCTGCAACTCTGCAAGTTCACACTTACCATTTCAGCTGCTTTGAGAAGCTGGATGTAGAAGACCTCTAGAACTTTTGGCTTATTGTTGACTTCAGAAGAAAAGGATATTTTGCTCATTTGATTATGCAGGTCTGGCTTAACATACAGGTCAGAAATTCATAGTGAGAACTGATTAAAGAATCGTTATCCAGATACTCATACAGAAAATATTAGAGTTTTGATAATTATTGAGTGCAGAGTGGCTCTGGCCCATAGAATGAGCCTGCCTTTGTTGCACCATAGCTTTGTACTAGTTGTGAGAGTAAATGGAGATGGCCTTCGCTGGCAGCATATATAGCCCAACAGCTGCTGAACACCTGGCACTGAGCTTGCAAACAGTCTTGGTGAGCAGCCGCCATCACCCCACGGCTGGGGTACAGAGATGTGGGGTGTTACAAAGAGTAAATCCCCAAGGCCTCACAGTACCCCTGCTTTGATTTTACTTATTTCAGCTTTGATGCTCAGGTGTCTAACTCCTGCCATTAATTGTGTGGGTATCCAAGGATCCCATGAAGCTCTAGGCTTTGTGCAACCTGTGTGACAATTCATATTAGTGTCCATAATTGTGACATCTGTTTAGCTTAGAGAAGAGGAGGCTGAGGGGAGACCTTATCACACTCTACAACTGCCTGAAAGGAGGTTGTAGTGAGGTGGGTGTTGGGCTCTTCTCCCAAGTAGTTAGCGATAGGACGAGAGGAAATGGGCTCAAGCTGCACCAGGGGAGGTTTAGGTTGGATATTAGGAAAAATTTCTTTATGGAAAGGGTGGTCAAGAATTGGAACAGGCTGCCCAGAGAGGTGGTGGAGTCACCATCCCTGGAAGTGTTCAAAAAATGGGTAGATGTGGCACTTTGGGACATGGTTTAGTCTAGTCTAGCCTTGATTGGTTTAGAGTAGACTTGGTAGTGTAGGTTAATGGTTGGACTGGATGATCTTAAAGGTCTTTTCCAACCTAAACGATTCTATGATTCTATGATTCTATGACATTTGACTGAGTATCCCATTTTGCCTGCCCATAATCATGTTTTTTTCCTGATGCACTCTCTGCAGTGCTTGCTCTAGTCAAAGTTAGAAGCTCTCCAGAACAAACAGCACACTTTCCTGCCAGTTTGTACAGTCCTTATCAGCACAAAGGGACTTTGGATGTTGACTAAATAGTCATAATAAGTAAGATTAGCAGGAACAGCTTAGGGATATATTTCTACAGAGGTGTCTGTTTTTCTTGTCATGTGTTGGGTGGGTACCTTGGGGCTCACCAGGTCTTCAGTTCTGTTCTACTGTGACACAGCTGATTTCTCAGGGGTCTTTTTGGATGAAGGTGGCTTAGGCTACATGCCGAACACCTTTGTTTTTTCTTCTGGGCTACAAAGGCCTCATAAATAGACTATATTATAGTCTATATGCAAGATTTATATACAGCTCTGCTTCCCAGCGGTGGGGAAGGAGGCAGGAAAAGACCATATCACTTATGAAGAGCTCAGAGGTGATGGTGAAATCGCATGTGTGTAAGACAGTGAAATAACGCTGCTGATCAGTTGATAGTACAGAATGTGGAGTGACAGATCTGCTGGTCTCTGCATTTTATGTAGCAGGGCATCTCTTCCCCTCATGCCCCTTTCACTGTCAGAGATCCTGGTGTTCACACTGGATATTGGGCATAATGTGCTCTGCCGACTTCCTTCAGGTCTGCACAAATGCAAGCAGTACAGACTTGCTGGATTCCCTAGAAAATAGATGAAGATAATAATGAGACTCCATGATTCCATAATATCTAATGATAGGTGTTTAGCTGTATGGATCTATTTTTTTTCCATGGGATGATGCCACCTATTGGACATTATTAAAAGAGGCAAAACAGTTCAAAGAAAATAAATACTTTATACTGGGTTTTTTTCAGCAAAGGTGGCTAAACTTTTGACTGTTTCCTACAGTTCAATAGCTAGACAAAGAGCTTCTATTGGGACATCCTGAATTATGGTACCTCATTAGAAAAGAAGAAAGAATAGAGGCAGAAAAAACCACAGGCACCACTATCTCTGGCAAGAAAATGAAGTTTGGAAAAAAAAATACAGGTAAAGTTTAACAAGATTGGTTTTATCCATTTTTCCAATGGGACTATAAACAACAGTTTTGGCACTTGAGGGTTTTTGTTTGCTTGGGGTTTGTGGTTTTTTTTTTTTTTTTAATTGAAGTGTGTTGAGGGTGATCATCTTTAATTGACCTTGAACTTGTAGTGGTAAAATTATTGATAATTAAGATTGAGAGGTCTGGCTAAGAAGTTATCTTTACTAAAAGAACGCTCCTTTCAACTAAAAGCTAACAGTCTGTGATTGTTCCCAACTTCCCACTTCTGAGCTAAGATAACACAGGTTGTGCCACTACTACTGGCTCCACCAAGAGCCATCTCTTCTTATAGGCATATTATTTATTGTTTGATTCCTTAAAATTGTGGCAGTTAGCAAGCTGCCTAAGGAGTCCATGCCTCCAGGGATAGATACCTGGCTTTGTTAACATTGAAATGATTGCTTTTCCTCACCTCTTTTTTCTGAAACAGTATACAGGTTGGGTCTCTGCAATCAGTCGGCTGAGAACAGGGGAGCAGAGGGGGAGATGCTCTCCAAATGTTCTCTCACTATGATCATAGTTAATGAAGCTTCTGTCTGGCCCGTCCTAAAGTGTACTTGCATTATTACGCACTTGGAGTCCCCAGATTCTCTGACAAACTGCTCTTAAAAATACAAACAAATACTTAAAAAAAAAAATCTGTTTAGTAAATAAATGTACCTTGAGGTACCCTGAGAAATCTTTTTAACGCTGGCCTTTCAATACATGCTCCAGCCATGAAATGTTTCCTGAGCTGTGTCAGATTTAGAAGGAATCAAAGAAGCCTCTACAGAACTACTTGGTCACATTGTGGCAGCCTGTAAAGACTTACAAATTTCCACATATTGACACTGCAACAATAGATGAAATTACAAAACACCACAAGGACAAGGGTCTGATTCTGGTCAAGTAGAATTCAACACTCAAGTATTGAAATTGCATTTATTTAATAGCCCAAACCATAATTCATCCCTGATTAGCCATAAATAATACTCAATTTTTTAACTTATAAAATAATCTCTTTGGCTTGATAGGGTCGCTTACAACAGTAGGGGCAACAGGAATTAGGTTTTTACAGTACTTCAGTTCATAGATACAATAAAGGAAAAAATGGATTTGTTTTTCACAGCATACCTAAACCACAAAATAGTCTGAATTTTCAAAGCTTTGTTAGTGTCTCTTCCATTTGTGAATAAAAATATTTGATACTTAATATAGATGAAAGAGAAATATCCTAATATGTTCAATAATGCCTACCACTGTTGTATGTTCTTATAAGACCGTATTTATAATAGTTCGAGTGTGTCAACATATCCCAGGCTTGATACTGGTTTTGCAGTACTGAAAATGTTATAACCAACCAAGAACGTATGTAAGACTTACAAGTTTGCATTACCATGTATTTTTTTAAAAAAGACATATAAATGAGTCATCTTCAATTGATTTTATCTACAGATTTATACACAATTCAAAGACAGATTATCTAAAATCCCAATCCTCTCCTGCACTGAAAGAGCGATCAAGTAGTTTAACCCAGAGGCATATGAAGTAAATCAGAATAGCTTCACAGACTTCAAAGGGTCTGTCAGAAATTATTCCCATCTCTTAATACAGGTTTATCACTGTTGGTGTTCTTGATGTCTTTTTTCTTCAAATTCTCTTTTATTTTGCCTTTCTTCAGCTTGTTCATAATCCCTGGTGGGAATGTTTTTTAATTATTTAACTTCTGTAATATGACAGTAAAGAGACTGATTGGAACATTTCTTTTATTGAAACTTTGCAAAGCAGTGATCATAGCGAATCTTCATTTTTCTTTATTTAATTGACTAAATATGAATAGCGTGCAGATGTGTTGCTCTTGCTCCTGTCATTATTATGTTAACAGTCCCTGAGACCAAGTTGGACTTGATTTCAAAGTTATTTTAAAACTTGGCACTTCTCTATGAAAATCTCTTTCATTTTCAGTGTTTGACATACGGTCTCATTTCCTCCTGATGTTTGAAATATGGTATCCATCTCAGGCCCATCCAGCCTCTTACAAGTTGTTTGGTTTACAATCTTGACCTCAGCCTGCCTGTAATAGGTTTATTAATACAAAATTCTGCCCACCATGAAGGTCTGTTCAGAGCTTTGCTGCCTTGAAGGATCTCTGCCCACATATTTTTATATAACTGCAAAATAATAAGAAAAAAGGATTAATTCATACAGAAAATAAAACAAAGAAAACTTCTGCAAAATACATTAGCCAACTTACTGGTTGAAATGAGATTGTGAATGAATTTCTAGATAACAAATGTGATTATGTACAGGCAAGAATAAACACAAAGATAAAGCACAAAATTTCAAAGTACTGTAAACATCAGATATTTGTAAATCATTTAGACCATCCTTGGCATCAGAGCAGGAAATCAGTAACCTTTATAATTTCTTGTTTTCAACTTGACATGAGTTGTGTTATCAAAGGTAGAAATTTGGAAACAAGGTTATAGTAAGCTAATCTTTGTTCTGTCCAAACCTGAAGACTGTGTCTGAAAGCACTCATGCATGTCTGTTTTTACCTTTATTTCAATGCATTTCTGGAAAGTAACATAACTTCCCTCTGTTCAATCTGAGCAAAAGAAATTCCTCTCTCGTAAGCAGAATGTTAATTCAACATCTGCATCAGTTTGCAATTTTATGTGGAACAGTTTAAAAAAGTACATGTGAAGTAAATACTGCAAAAGTATAGTTTTAGCAATATTCGGCAGTTCATAATTAACTGAAGCTTAAAACTTTAAAGAATGTTATAGAAAGATGAGGAAAGGAAGGCCATATTTTCAGCAGTAAGTTGGAGTACAGCATAATACAATATTAACGTAGTATAAAAGCAGTCAGTGACATATGAAAAGCCTTTTTCTACATCAAAAGATGGCTTTGTCCTATGTATTTGTGATGATTTAAATAAATACTGAAATATAATATATTTAACATTAAATATATTTTTACCTTGACTACGTGGGCTAGCGTTAACTACTTATTCCATTACAAGTTTGATTTAATAGTCTAACAACTTTTAATTAATCTTGAAATAAATGTGGTGATAACTTTGCATACTTCAGCTGAGATTGTCAAAGGTTCTATGAGGAAATGATGTCCACCCCATCAAAGTTTCTTTTAAAGAGAATCCAAATTCTATTCAGTACTTAAAGCTGCTCATAACAAATTTGGAAACTTTTCTTCTGCTCCAATTATGATCCATGGCTTGTGGTGCAAGGCACTCCAATGCAGTGCAACATAGGTTATCCTGAATTAAATTCATTTTCCTGTTATGCTTGGATAATCTACTCTTTGCCATACTGTAATTTCTACTAAAATGTTTGCATTGGTTTTTAGAAGTTGCAAAGATAGCAATGAATAGAGAATTAAATACAGACAGCCAGGAGACAAGGAGCTTTATTAAGTATTTTCTTTGAGTGAGGGATTGGCAGCCTTTTTCAAATTTCAGTTGAAAATGTTTACACAAGTTGAAAACCACAGACTTTCAGGCAGTTCAGAAAACCTTCCTGAATTCTGCGGAACATGGGTTGGATATCACTGCTTAAAATTATTTTCTGAATATGACTCAATGAATTTACAAAAACCTTACCAAATATTTAGTGCAAGAAGAAGTCAGTAGCGTTTAGAGTCCTATCTGCATGTCTCACACATTATATTCCTAATATGAATATCTAATATTAATAGCTAATATTAATAAGCCTCTGTGGCTTTTGTATTAGTGTGAGCTAAGAGCTAGCCAAAGAGGAGCTAGCCAAATCCGTTACATGACAGCTTTATCAGCTGCTGATAAGAAATCTCCAGCTGACTGCTGGAAGCGGGGTAGTATTCTAGGCACAGAGCACTGTGTACTTGCACCATATTTTATATTCCTGCCTACAGCATCTGCTCACAGCTTCTGTTAGAGACAGAATAATGGGTGAAAATGGGCTTTTGGCCAATGCAGATATGCTTAATATTCTTATAGATGATGTTCCTTCTCTTAGAGTTACCTTTGGAGCTTCCCTCCCATGACCTCCTTCATTAATTTAGTCCTCAAAAATCTACAGAAACAGAAACAAAGTTTCCAGTGATGCTTATAGTCCTCTTGTTGAGATGGCTGGATATGTAGAGCTAGCTTTTTCCTCCTTTATTTGTAGAGACTGTTTTACCAAAGTAATCATTCTGTTAGGTCAGAATCTCGTTAGAAACATCTGGACTGCCTTCTGTATTGCTTGATCACCATGGGAACAATGGACAACTTTAGACATGAAGACATAGACAGAGAATATTGAAAAGCATTGAGTACACTTGACTCAGCAATCCTGTCAAACTTCTGGCAGTCTCCCCAGGCTCTAGTGATTCTCTACAGGGTCTATCCACATTAAACCAAACTACCGTACTGTGACACCAGTCTCTGCATATTTATCCCACAGCTTGGCCCTGCTGAGTAGGGTTGGCCAGTAAGCAAGAATTTTGGTTTGCTGAGACTTTGGAATGAAATACAGCTCTTTAAATATGTCAAGGAAAAAAAAAAAGCAATGAGGGGCCATAGTATAGCCAAATCCACGGTGACCCACATCCTGAATCCTGCTTGTAGGTCTGGTTATGACACCTCAGAAAGGATATGGCAGAACCAGCAAACATACAGAGAAGCAAAACAAGGCCTGTCAGAGGAACAAAAAAGCCCCCTCAGATAGTAAATGTACACGGACTGGGACTAGGAAGTATTTTTTCACAATACTAATAATTAAATTATGGAAATTACAGTGTCATGGAAGCCAAAAGACAGCTGAGATGGGAAAAATGGATGGAGGATAGATACATCTGTGGCTATTAAACAGAATGATACAATCTATGGCATGAGATATCTCTTAAGCCACCAACTGCCAACAGTTGAGACACCAGAGAAAGACCACCTCAATATTTCATCTGTTTCATACAGTGTCCTCCTTGGCCGCTGTCAGTTCCAGAGTATTCTGTGAACTGGATCCAGTATGGCCATTCTTATGCTCTTGATTCAATTCTTGCTTTGTGTAGTTTAGACTCTAAAAAAAAAATCTCTCACGCTTAACAAGGATGGATTATATATTCATTAAAGCAAGGAGAGGTGCTAACAAAACAGCATCCTTCAAGTCTGTATTAAGATCACTGAGATCCCTTGGGTAATGCTGTACCTTGCACTGGATAGTACAAGATACTCTGTCATATCCTAGAATTCCCACTGGATAAAAAGAATTCTTAAAGAATTCTGCAATTTGTGATATAATTTTTAATTGAACAAGTTTTAAATTTTCCTTTCTCTTATTAAAATAAAAATTTTATGAAGAATTAAAAGAAAGAAATAATTTCTACACCATTTATATGCACATCACACAGACTGGATGTAATGTGAGTACCAATAAAGGCAGCAAAAGTCCTAGGCAGAGAAGAAATATACCTCACTACCTCTCCAAGGCATTAAGCTACATACTGAAGACATGTTACTCCTTAAGGTGTCTTGGTATAATTTTTTTGTTGTTGTTCAGCAGCACAGATGCATACAAAAGTGAACTAGAGCAATATTGTATGAGATTCCCATTGAAGCCTATCTATCTCCAGCAAATGCAAAATGTCATTTTCTGCTGACATCAATTTAACTCTGGTACTTTCCACTGAGAAAGTGTCTTCCTTTTCTTTTGTAGGTGTGAAGTGTCTTGAATATGCTATGGCTATTTACAGGCAATACCCTTCTTAATGATTAAACTTACAAATTTTAAAGGGGGTTTCCTTACCTCTCCACTAGCTTTACCAATCGGAGAGTTGAGAATGAAGTCAGGAGGAGCAAAGACATCAACCAGGGCAACTGCATCATCTTTCAACTGTTTAAAAACAAAAGACACATTTGGCAACTTCTGTAGTTGTCTATGGCTACCTGTGAACTACAGAGCAGCATAAAGATTATTTTCATAAAGTAGCAGCTATTGGTAACTTAAGAGAAATCCACAATAAGGAGTCTAGATTTATTTTGCCTTTCTTCCTCCCAGGGTAATTGCCAAAAGAGACTGTATTTTAAATGTTTTCCTCCTTTGCTTATGGGTTTCAAAACACATTTTAACCAAGATGGTGCTGTTTACACACAAAAAAACATGTATTTTTGAACTTTAAAAACATAATGTCCAGATTCTTCTTTGAAATTTTGCTTACCTGCAAAGAATATAATCCAGTTTGAAAAGCTTTTTTGTTGAGAAAAAAAATTAATGAGCTAACACAATCATGAAATAAACAGAACTGGACTGCAGTATTTCACTGGCTTTCCAATGAAGATTGCAAGGCCATAAATGATACACTGTTATTCTGTAAGATATATTGGTTTTCATTTTTTGGTAAATAAACTAGGACTAGATTCAGGGTCAATGAGTTACTAAACTCTACAGAAAGTTATTCAGAAACTATTAATGTAATACCCTGCTACTTTACCCCTTGAAGTACAGAATAACTGATATATCTGGTTTTTAGTATTTGTATACTATGTTATTATTTAATCACAACAAACAATATTGAAGGCTTACCCTGTAGCAGAGCTCCAGAATAGCATCCTGAATAAATCTACCAGCTTCTTCACCTGAAGCATAGCCACCTGCAAATACATTCACAAGGAAGCATACACCAATTAAGATTACACTTTTACAAAGGAGCTTATCCGTTCAGTATTCAAGAGACTAAACAGGTGCTCCTGTGTAATTGGATTGACTGTCTTTTGTTAATGAGTTGACTGCAAAACTGTTAATCTAAGACATTTGGAGCCTTTTGCATTAACAAACTACACTACAGCATCTTGCTGCCTATCCCCCATCCTCTCGCCCAAGCACTGGACCACAGCAAAACTTGTGAGCCCTCCATCATCTCTGAGCTAAGAGAGAGTCTTTTGGGTTAATTTGTTGCTCCAGATGCCTGCTCCCGAAAATTTTGCCCAGAATGATGGTTTTACATTACACAGGCAATAAGAAAATGCTCTAATCTAAATCCTGATTAAGATTCCCTCTCCCTGCCAAGTTAGGACTTTTATAAAGTGACATGCCAAGTATATTCTGGGAGCTGATCTCACCTTGGTAGAGCACAGCCAGATGTTTACTCAAAGACCAGAGTCCATACAGAGCACTGAGATTCTTAAGCACTGGCTGCAGAGTAGATGGTATGTTGGGATCATGAGTGTAGTCATGATATCTTTGTAAGACTGTTTGTTCAATAAAAGCAATGGCTAATGATCGACAGTAGTACACCTTAGGAAAGAGAAAAGAAGGACACTGAGTAACAAAGTACAAGGAACCAGTCCTCAGATGGTGCAAAATGGCATTGCTCTGGTGAAGTTAGCAGAGATTTGTTGATTTAGATCTGCTGATCTAGCTTCAGATTACAGAAACTCTAAGAAGAAACTCTAGGAGAAAACTCAACAATGTCTTTGCAAAGGTTAGTCATGAAATGCCTCTTAGAAATAGAATTCTAATTTTCCACTGTGTTCCAGTTTGGGTACCCTCTTATACCAGTGCAAAGGGAGCGCAGATTGTATGCCTGTTACCAGTGTAATTTCGCAGTTGCACCCAGACTGTATGGGATCAAGTAGCTACGTCAGAGAGAAGACCATGCAAAATCAGGTTTGCTGACTTTAGGATCATTATTAAACCCGTAAAACTCTAAGAAGATAAAGGTAGGTTTACATTTATTTAATATTAAGCAGAGTTTTGTAAAGCGGATAAAATCTTCAAAGTCGTTCAGTAACCTATTGAAAACTTATTACAGTCCCTTCAAATAATAAATGAAAAATCTGATCATGTTAGCATGAGTGGATTCTGTTTATGGATTGCAATAGATTGCAATATGTTTTGAAAGAACTATCCAACTAATCCTTGCCAACTGTCTGATCAGAAAGTCAAGTCACCAGTTACTGTTAATACAGAGTATAAAACCTTAAGTGACTGTACTCTCATAGGAACACTTGTCTCCTTTTATATACTTCACCTTTGCTGTATCGTGGCATATGTCCTACCATGAAATAGACTGCTGACTGAAAACATTCTGGTTGGTGAACAGAAAGGGAATATGAAACCATTGCTGTTGTGGCTGATTTGTTGCAATGCTGTAAACCAGTGTTTGTTTTTAGCCCAATTGTTCAGGTTTTTTTTTTTAATTTAGAATTAGTTGATTAGTTTTTCTTTTTTCTTTTAAATACTTGCATCTTCCTTGCATTTAAATCCACTGCGGCATTTAAAAAAGGCGTATTCTAAAGATTACTGTCTCTCTCTTGATAGCTGTTTAGTGGCATACTTACATCCAAGCTCAGATACAACTGCAAAACACACATCTATTCTCTGCAGGTTTGGGGAGGACTTCCCCCTTACTAGACGGACTTTTTTAGATATGAATGCTAATTCCCTAGTCACAATGAAGTAAGTCTTAACATCGCAAATGTAGCATTAAGAATTAATTCCCTATTCTTCTCCCCTGTAATTCTATTTCCTTCTTTACCTTTGCTTGCACTTCTGTATTGTTTCTATCAAGCAATCCCCAAACCAAAATAACCTAGGGATAGGCTAGGAATCTCTTCCAGATCTCCCACAGCAAGAACAAATATTACTTATTAGTCAGCCACTGGGCTGACAGAAAGTGCTTCTTCATGCCCAGAAAGTTTTAAATCAAATAGGTACATGCCTTTAAAGCACAGCTTGTAAATCATTTTCAGATGTTTTTGAGGCATGCCATTTAAAAAATCCCTCTGTCCTGAAGATGAATTGTAGGAAGAAAACCTAATGACCTAAGGTATATCAATGCCCATCTCAAAAGTAATTGTGTGCCTAAGTATCTTTAAATTTTAGCACATCTGAACATAAGAGAAGAGAACCTTCATACTTCTGAGCAAACCATTTTCTCTAACACACTGGCCCTGGCACCATCCTCCCAAGAGCTGGGCAACTGATAGGCAATCAGACTTGAATTTCTGGCAATTCCCATTCTGAATTTGACCCTGAAGAGTTTCTTTAATAAGCTGCTTCTAGGGTAAAACCAGGAAAGATTTCCTCCACTCTACCAGTGCTTTCACACAGACCATCCCCTGTTGAAGCTAGGCTGGATCTTTCTAGGTGTAGAGTTGAATATTCCTTCCTGATGATTTTAATGAGCTTTGCAGGTAAGGTGAATGACACTGACCATCTTCAGGGAACAGATCTCTCTCTTCAGTGACAAATGACAAGTGTTCTTTCCTTGGATGCAAGCCAGTTTTTCTCATCGAGGTAATGGAAGAATTTGGGGAGGTTGGGGATATACACTGAAATTTGGAGTTAAGCCATTCCTAGCTGTTAAAACTCTCTGGTGAGAGAGCGGATCTGCTATATGTAGATTGTCAGTGTTTCCTTTTCAGGTTCCAATGCTGTCAGTCTGGTATCTTTCATGAGTATTTTGCACTATAGAAATTAGAGATGGAAAAGACCTATTAGGTCATCTAGTTTACCTACCTGCCAGAGCAAGATTCTTTCCTACAGTATGTATTTGACCACAAGAGCAGATGGAGATGTAATAATTAGATGCTGCAGTAGATTTAATAGTAGCAGATTTAGTCTTCAGAAGCTGTGCTATCAAAATTACAGACATCACCTAGCACATGCCTGCAACTTTTCTGAAGGGAAATATATCCTGGAGACTTCTGCCGATGGTAACTGTCCTCCTGCTATCATGTTCAATACAATGCACACGGACAGGTATTACACTTTATAAGTTATTTGACTTGCTGCTTTATGCTTGAGGAAATTGTACTTCATGACCCAAGAAGATAAAACTAACAGGATCTGACAAACTTGGATGAAAATAAGTAAATAAAATAAGAAAGCTGAGTAAGTATTACCTGACAGTTGTTTTTTGCCTCAAAATCACTTCGCCCAGACTGTTTCTCCTTGCTCAGCTTTAGGTCGCTTTCTCGGAGCAGGTAGCAAACCAGCCATTTATATGCTGCTAAAGGAACTGTGAAAAAGAGAAAACCAAAATTCTTAATATTCACATTTATAATGCAAGAAGTCACATGCAGATTCTACTGCAGTCTCAGTTTTTGTTACTCAAGATGAAAAGTGAAAGTGTTAATTAATCAATCTATTAACATGACACTTTGCCTATTACCATAGATGCAATAAATAACATCTGGGTAAGATAGGCAGATTGTAACTGTACAGTGAAGACATACCATGCCTGAGCACACACTCGTTCAAGCTGACCCCAAGCTAAAAGACAAGTTATATCCACAGCTCAGTTTAGACTTCTGACTTTATCAAATTCTTTTAGCATGTTATTTTCTTCCCATATTAAGATTTAGGTCTGCAGGATATTCAGTCTCTTCTGAGAATACAGGAACAGAAGACAGTCCACGTTTCGTGAAAGCACATGACTTCTAACATTGCAAAGGTGGCTGAATGTAATTGCATTTGAATGACTTGCTTTGTACATAAGTGCATTATATTTTTAGAGCGGCCTGGAAGTATTAAGGAAAAAAGTACTTCAGCATAAAGTCCTTGTATGAATCCTGCTTGCTTGTGTTTTAGCTTAAGATTTGATGTAGAATATTATTTAGGCAATTGTGAGTGTTCACATGCCACCTAAATATAGGCACCTAGATTAACAGTCCAGTTTCTAACAGAATGGAACAATAAACAGATTCAGATATTTTTAAAACTATAGTCTGGTTCAGTAGGTATAACAAGGGAGGAGAGAACATGTGCTTAGGTATCAGTTTGTGCTCTGCTGGATTTCACAAGTTGGAGACATACGACAAAGAAGCAAGCAAGCAGTTGTTTTGAACTAGTCTATTTTCTTATGAGCCTTTGTATTTTGAAGTTATTCAGATTTTACCCCATAGTTATTATGATACTATCTCACTTGGTACTATGCATCACTATCTGAAGTTCAGCTTTTTTGCAATTATTTGAGCACTGAAGTGGTTATTGAATTCTAGGAATCAACTCAATTGCCCCTTATATATTAAGATTCGACTTTCTTCCCTCAGTATGTTCTCAGTTTCACAGATTCACTTCTACTCAATGCCCTGTCACTACCTCATTATCTGCTCATTTCTTTGTTAATTTTTGCCTCCAAGGGCCAATCTGGGCTCACAGTGATACAAAAGTGGGAATGGCATCTAATGTCATACTTGATTTGATTACAGCCGAGTAAGCCAGGAAAACTGCAGGGAACTTTCTTTCACCATTACCCATTTTTCTCTGTGCAACCAAAAGCAACTGTCAAAAGCAGACACACTTAAAGCCTTTTCAATGTATTTCTAAATCACTTGCATGGTTTTCTAAAATAAAATATTTTAGTAATACAAGGTAGTGACAATCAATGACCCTTACAACAGTTTTACTTGAAAACAACAATACAGTGGCAAAAAAACTAGATCACAAATGCTATTTTAGAGGAACAAAAATGGAAGAAAAATACATGATGCTATCCTCCATTCCAGAATTGAGGCTGGGGACAATAGGACATATTTTGAAATGCAAACTGTGTCCTTAGTAAATTGAAATGCATATGATACAAAGAAAATCAGCACATATTAATATGGCAAATATCTAATAAGTAGCAGAGGATGAATTTCAAATCTCTGGATCCTTTCCTCTGGAAAGGCATTTAAGATTCTAGAATCTGTTTAACAACAGCAGAAGGCTACCTGAGGAGTCCATGCAATCTTCAACACTAATGGCTGTGAATTTCCAGCCAAGAATATGATGGTAGTCTTGCAAAACATTTGCTGTTCCAAAAGGGGATTCAAAAGGAGCTTTATCTGAAATACCAAAGAAAATAAAAATTATTTACAAGAAAAAAGATCAGACTCTTTGGAACTAAAAGCCTACTACAAAGCCATGCATACACTTGATAGGCCAGATGCAATTAGGCCATAATATTTATTTTATTATGACGTAGTCCAGCCAAATGAGGACTGGTGGACAAGTGCTGAAAAACCTGACATCACTGCCTATAAGTCCCAGAAGATTCAACTCCTACTGCTGAGTTTTCCAGTTCTGTAAGATGCTGGCGAAACTCACTGCTAGAAAATTGAAACAGAATCAACTACAAAATGTACTGATGGATATTGCTACCAAGTTAGGCAATATGAACTGTTTTAAGTACAATGAGCAGAGGGTACCCAGACTAACAACAACTTTAGGACTACTTACACTGAACTAAACTGAACTTCTTAGGGACTAAGATACTACTTAACCTGAGTAGGGATGGCAAAACATCTAGTTAGCTTCTTCAAGACTTAGAAAAATATTTCTTGCAGCAAATATCTGTTTATTGTGAATGTGTCATATGATGGAGTCTGTAGCACATTATTTATGCTCTATAAAATGATTAAATGACTGTCAATTGCTTTCAGTACAAAATTACCTCCTAATTCCATTAGCTACACACTGTTGGGTCCAGCATAGGATTCCACAATGAAAACTCACCTCTTACGCAATTCATCCAGCTCATTAAGTAGTTGCTGGTTTGCTGAAGCAGAACATTGTTGTCTCCCTCATATGTGCAGTTTGGATCATTGTCATTTCGGATTTCACCCAGACGATTCACTTAGTAAGAACAAGTGCACAATTTAATATATTGCAATGTATTAATGGAAGCTAAGGGGGATTAAGTAATTATTCTGTGACAAAATGCAAGGCAGTTGTCTGTTCCTGTATGTACAACTATTGTTACCAACAGATGAGCTTGAAAGTTCACTGTTTAGCTTGTGAAAATGAATATAGTGGAAAGATTTTAGAAAAGTGTTGCATTCATCTTACAAGGGGAATTTTCATCCATAAAGTCTGCATCTTTATTTCTGGAACTGACACTGAATCACCTGTACAGACTGTCCAAATGCTGATGCAGATGCTGCATGGGCTTAAGGGGTTTTTTTGTGGTACCAGGTATGAAATGAACTTTAAAAATAGGGATATGAGGAAAAAAACTTTTCTAAACAAATTGCTAAAATTCAGACACCATGACACAACAACAGTCAAAGAACACATCAACATAACCATTCTCTTTCTGATCAGTGTATGCAGTAGTCTGTAACTTACTGGCAAGGTAACCATGTCCTCCACAAGCTTCTC